CACAAATGCCATAACATAAACATGGCCTTTGTCTCTGAAAGATACCATGCCTTCCTGTGATTTTTCCTAGCAGACAGCAGCCTGGCAGAAACCCACTTCCATATGTAAATAGAATGCCTCACAAAGCATCTAACAGCCAAAGCTTTTACCACTACCCCCATGGTATAAGTATCCTAGTTTTCTCTTAATAGGCAGAGAGCTAGGTCGCAGAGAGCTAGGTTGCAGAAAGCTGTGACACAGAGAGCTGGGTCGCAGAAAGCTGTGACACAGAGAGCTGGGTCGCAGAGCTGCTGAATTACTGAGAGCAGAGACACTTAATAAAGCTGTAACACAGACTAAGCCAAGTCTTGAGTCCTGTGCCTTACTACCTGCAACCTAGCCTCTCCGGGGGGCAGCACTCCCTCGTGACCGACTTACGGACATCCTAGCTTTCGCTGTCTTCGTACTTCTCCCGCGAGGTCCAGGTGGCCAGTGGACCTCACATCCTGAGGAAAAGTACATGGGTGGAAAAGGGACAGGATTTCAGCTGGACAATGCTCCAGTAGCAGAAAGGCTGTCAGCACCAGAGAGCGCGCGCACACCAGCGGGGGAGCCTGCGGATCCGCCGTGCCATTCTGGGAGTGTGCACGCCCCATAACACCATCTACAGCTCAGGTGGTTGGAGTGCTTAAGATTCAGGTTCATGGGGCTGGAGAGATGGCTTGGTGGTTAAGAGCACTGACTGCTCTTGCACAGGACCCGGGTTCGATTCCCATCACCCACATGGTGGCTGCAAACTGTCCTTAACTCCAGTTCCAGGGGAATCTGAAGCCCTCTTCCAGCCTCCACGGCATTGCATGACACAGGTGCACTCACTTACGTGCAGGCAATACACTCATAAAATAGAAATAATAAAATATTTTTTTAAAATTCAGGTTCATTATTATGAGGATGGAGATGTTCAGTTGGTTAGTCATAAAGATATGCAAGATTCGATCCCCATTTCTACAGCAATTAGTGAAAACTATCAAATGATGTCAGACACCACGTTCAAGGCAGCTTCCAGTTCCTCGCAACAAAATCTACTGGAACAAGATTCTCAGCTACAAGACTGGCAAGGAAATGCAAAATGCTTAAAGGCTGACTGTAGAGGTCTCCAGTATGTGGAAAGAAAAGGATTCAAGATGATGTGGTCATATGATAAATAAGAGATTTATAAACATAAACAAGAGTGATATTTTGCTAGTTAACAAAGTTAACATTTTCTAGCCTCATGGAATACTGTTGAACCTATAACATTGTCTTGATTTTTTGTCTGTGTTCTCTGCCTTGTAATTTTCTGTTATCACTCTATCCACTTGTGAATCTTTTTTTTAAATTTTGTTACATTTAATGTTGAAGAGATCTATCCTAAAGTCATTTTACTGTTTAGAAATTTTCCTAGCAATGAAATCCTGTTACTGGTTTATACAGATAATCTGTTCAGTCTTTTTTTGGTTTTTACCAAAGCATTTCCAGTACTTCAGTGGTTTTTATTGATCCACCAACTGCTAAGCATGCTATGCTACACACTGCAACTCAGTGGAAGATGCAGTCCTCCTTCTCTCTCCAGCTGCTTTGATCATTTATAGCATCTCATAACTGTACTTTTCAAACATTTGGATTGGGGCTCTTCAGGTTCATTTGGGGAGCTAAAGGAAGTTTCCTAGAAATTCTACAACAGCCAGCTTCTCTGGGGGGACTTGTTTTTAATCCAAAGACTTGAGCCACAATCCCTGCACATGAACATTGCTTAGTCTCTCGCTGACTCCATCTAGTCCTGTTGTAGTTACAGACTTCTGCATTTTAGAAGAGTTTTGCCCCATATATGTTTCTACTTAATATTCAAGGACTGCTGACATACTGTGGATATAATAGAATCTAAAACTTGAATAATACGGATTGTGAAGGAATAATAGGTATTTGTGCTATAATACCTACTGGCAGGATTGTTCTGTGACCAGATAAATCAACTATGTAAACTCATAGAACTGAAGATGAACCAAAGTGAAAAGGGCAACTTCCAGGCAGCATCTTTCTATTGTAACCTGTTATTTAAGAGAATACTAGTGTTTCCTTCTAAGCAGGATGGACAACTCATTCCAAATTACTCTTCTTCCATCAGTCCTGCCTGCCAAAAATTCCTTGTAACTGTGATATAGCAAGCCTTCCCAGGTATAATGGCAGGTAGGTGTGTGATCTCAGAAAGCGCAAGTAAGGTAGCAAAATAATAATAATAAGCACAAAAATAATAATAACAGTTCCCTTAGTATTAAACATAAATCTACACTTCACAACAGTCTCATACAATAAATACTGTGGTTAGATACAATGTCATGACAAACCAGTTTCAAAACCAAGACCAATTACCTTGATAAAATTCTGATCAGAAGTATAGAAAAGAAACTCTTAAAAACCAGCAGTACTGGGCCAGGCATGGTGGCACATGCCTTTAATCCCAGCTCTTGGGTGGCAGAGGCAGGCAGATCTCTGTAAGTTCAAGGCCAGTGTGGTCTACATAGTTCCAGGACAGCTGGGGCTACAGGGAGACTCTGTCTCAAAAAGACCAAAAAAAACAAAAAAAAAACCCAGCAGTACTTTACACACACACACACACACACACACACACACACGTGAGAATCTCATCTCAAAAAATAGCTGTGCCGAACAAAGCCATACACACTGATGCTAGACATAAGGGCTTTCACTTGAAGAAAGCATTTTCAGAACTATCATTAAAGACAATTCCATGAAATGAGAGGGTAAAGAATGGGATGGTAAAAAGTATTTAGTCCTAATAAGGCAATACAGAATCAATCTATTTATTATTAAAGACCATTTAAGACTGACAATACCAAAAGCATAGAGTATAAGAAAATAGTTTTCATGAGTATGATTCAATTACAGCTGTCTACAGTTAACTTTCCCATAGTAGCATGCAGCTTTGAAAGTAGTGTGAGAGGTTTGAAAGGACAAGAGCACAGCACACAGGGTCAGAGGAATCAGCATGCCAAGTCTGCAGGGCTGGCGGTCTGTGACAGCAACAGCTCAGGCTCAGCGTTGTTTTTTTGCTTCCTATGAGGAAAAGGTGTGCGTGGGGGGTGGCACTTAAGGAAATAAGCGCAAAATCATATCACTGCCAGAGTCTAAGAAGACACACTGTAGCGAACAGTTATAAGCTAATTCTCAGAGATGTCTAGAGGTCGTTCAGTGTATGCATAAAAGTACATGGTAATTTTTACAAGATAAGCATAGTAATGTTTATAAGCAGTTATTCTGAACACATTGTAGTTGTCTCTTTTTGTCACAGGCTGTTCTGGAGGCAAGAAACTGGCTCAGGCCATCTTGGGGATCAGTTCTTGCAAGGTACCCCAGAAGAAGCCATGTGCTATTGTGTCTAACTCAGGTGTCCTCTAGCCAGAGAAACAAAAGCACTGCTGCAACATGGCCATCTCCAGGAGCCTAGTAGAGCTCCATTCAAGCCAAACTAAGATTCCTGGTTTCAATTACTGATAGTTTTAGGAATAGCTAATAAAAAGGCAGTTTAATAAAGACTTAAACATGAGAGCTAAAGGCAAGAGTTGTTCCAAGGGAGAAAAGTACAGAACCACATCTAAGCCAGTAGAGTTTCCAGGGACAAAAAGCACCCCCCCCCCGCAAACAGGCCACATCTGCCTGCATACTGAGCAGTGCTGCAGGAAACAGGGAAAAGGACAAGGCCAAAAGGATGAGACAGGAAGACCAGTCCCAGAATTCATCTCCAGCAATGAAGATGAGTTAATATATTGAATCAAACCTATAACCAACAGGAATTCAATTTTCTCAAACCATTTTCAGGCCTTTATAGGTCTGAAAGCAACACCAACCAGATCCAGAATGTCAAAATCAAAATACTCCCAAAGCGAGCAAACCTTAAAACAAACACCATGAAAACAAACCCTGTGGGAGACAGGCTTGAGCCTAGGGTGAAAGTCTTATTGACAGCCATACAGCAGGCCTGAGGCAACGGCCCGACTGCTGGAGCCACAAGGAACACCTTGTGACATTTTCCTCCTAATGGCAGATCATGAGACTGATGCCTAGAGCTCACCACTCCCTAATCACCACCCTTGGAATCAAGGTATCCTACTTGCTGTACTGTGATATGATGCTAAACCTGTTATGCTAATAAGGTATCCTACTTGCTGTGCTGTGATTGGACCACTATCCCTATATAAGCTTGTGCCTTCCTGCAATAAAGCAGATCTGTGTCACTGAACCTAGTCTCCTGTGTCTGAATGCTGCTCAGCTGACACAGTCTCCTCACCAGGCCTGGGGTCCAGACCAGAGGACTGATCAGAGGAACTAAGAGAGCAGGAGAGCGGCCATAGCCAGAGGAGAGCAGCCACAGCCGGCAACAGCTGGCACCCAACGTGGGGCACAAAGCCTCCTGCCCCACGGAGCTGTAACACACTGAGCTGTAACAGTCGGGGCTCCCAAGTCCCCCTTTGCCAGTGATTCTTCCATGGGTGCTAGCCACTTTTGTTCTCCTGTGCTTCTTCTTCTGGCTCGCAGTCTTTGGTTTCGGGTGTCGTTCCTGTCTCCACTGATCATCTTCCTGAATGGTTCCTGAGTCCCTTTGGGTACGTCTTGCAGGGTGAGTGACCTCC